TGATGAGATTTGATGAAGAATTTTCCAGGGACACCTGGCACTTGGACTGGGCTAATTTTGAGGATGGCACAGTGCTTATTTGCAGCTGGTTCAATTGCTTCAATGGCCACTACCACTTCATTCTTCAATTACACAGCTTTCTGGTATTTTTTTTTTTTCTTTTTTTTTCTTTTTTTTTTTTTAATTCTGCTGTGAAAATTAACACTAATAATTATTTGAACTTGTGTGTGTGTGTGTGTGTGTGTGTGTGTCTGTGAAGAGGGGTTTCTTTACACACACATTTAAATAAGCAAATGTTGTGAATTCAAGAAATGTATTGGAGAAATGCTATTACTCAAGAAAAGAGGTGAAATCTCGTAAAATCGAAGCGTTTTGTTGTTTGATCATGGTTCGTTTAATCCGAAGATTTGTTGCTTGATCATGGTTCGTTTAATCCGAAGATGTGACACGTTCACTCTTACGTTGTCAAATTTACATAGGGGTGTTCATCCAGTTGGTAAGCAGACCGAACCAAACGAAGATTCGGTAGATGCCGGTTACTGAACCAGTAATTCGGTTCGATATATACGTGTGTGTGTGTGTGTGAAATATTAGTATTTAAACTAAAATTAATTAAAAAAAAAAAAAAAAAAAAGCAAATTTTAATTTTTTTTAATAAAATTTCGATTCAGTTATTTACCAAACCTATGAAAATTTGGCGTACAGTACGATTTTACCGAATAAACACCTCTAAATTTACCAACTGTAAGGGTTTTTTTGTAAGACAATATATAGTTGAGGGGTAGCTCTTATTATGCAAACAAGAGGGTTTTTTTCGTAATTTAACCTTATCTCAAGGGTGGCAGTAATTTGTTCATAATTCAAAGATATTCTTACACTTGTCGGTCTCATTGATTTATTTCTTGATTATATATTTGTCTGAACGTTTTAGTTATATAATGTCAATGCCACAACCTTCTTGTATACTTTCAACGAAATATGTTTAAAAAAAAAACAAAAAAAAAAACCAACTATTTTTCGTCTATTTCAATTTAATCGACCACATTTCCTTGTAATTGCTCCAGCTATTTAATTGCTTCAATGGGTCTGCAAGTAATCTGGAGTTGTGGGCTCGCTTTAATGGATGCATACTCCTTACTAAGGAAGAAAGTTCTACACAGTCCTGCCCTAGTCAGCCTCTTTCTAGTCGGGGATTGGGTTCGTTTTTCTTTTTTTTTTTTTTTTTGTTAAATGCAAATTCAAGTTAAACTCTCTTATAAGTTTTAATTTTTTCAACAATTTTTTTAATTTTTTCGTTAAGCAGGTGACAGCAACGTTATCACTTGCAGCATCTTCTTCCTCGGCGGGAATAACGGTTCTTTATTTCGGAGATTTGGGAGTTTGCGGTTTGGGGGAAGAATGCACTAGATATCAAATGGCAGTTGCATTGGCTTTCTTAGGTTGGATTAGTATTGCTATTTCATCCCTCATCATGTTTTGGCTTCTTGCAGCTGGTTAAGGGATTTTTTTTTTTTTTTTTCGTTCGATCGGTTATTTGACGTAACGACAAAGGTTGTCTTTTTTTTCTTTTTTCTTTCTTGAGAGAGAGGAAGTGTGTGTATACCAAATGGTCCTAATCAAGATTTAATGATTTTCAAGAATAGGCTAGATTTATTTTTCTATATTAATTTTCTAATATTATATTCTAACAAAAAAAGGAGTTAGGAAGAATAAAGAATATATTATATTCTAACAAAATGATAAATGGTTAAATCACATTAGCTTAAGATTTTTATAGTGCAGAAAATGACGACAGCGTAGAGCTCCAGAATATTGTTACTTTAGTATCTTATGCTTCAACTGATGAAATTATCAGATATTGCAATTTAAATATTTAATACAAAGCAAATTCAAGAATGTAATAAGTTGTGGGGTGACTTCATGATGACAGTGAGTGGAATTTAGATGTTTTTTAATTAAAAAAGTCACCCATCTAAATATCCCTTTATTTTATGAGTAATATTTGATCATGGATAGGTTTTAAGCTTAAATTACGAAATAACCTCTCATGTTTGGGTAATTACAATCACCCCTCAAGTATCAATTTTCTTACACGTCCATATTTGCAGTGTCAAATTTAGTGGAATCTTCTAGATTATGTGGAATATTCTCTAGTTTGTACCGTTTTACCGTATTCGAGCTCCACATTTTGAAACAAGATGATAAGATGTGTCTTTTTGGTTTGTAAATATCAGATTGTCGTGCATCAGAAACTTCATTTTTGCACAAAACGAGTATAAACTAGAGAACATTCCACGGAACCTAGAAGATTATGTTGAATTTGACACCATAAAGGTTGAAGTGTAAGAAAAAATTCACAGTTGAGGCGGGTGGTTGTAATTATCCAAACATTAGGAGTTTTTTTGTAATTTGACCTCACCTCAGGGGTGGCCGTAATTTAACCAAAAAAATTATTATTACTTGCAACAACCAGAAACAGAAAAAGAACAAAGAAAAGGATGAAAGCAAACAACAGAAGAACTTTATTAAAAGACAATGCCCAAAATTAGCAACTTCTACCAGACTTCAGTTTTTTTTTTTTTTTTTTTTTTTTTGCAAAAATACTTGTGATCTATAAATCGTGCACGTATATATATTAACGCAACAGCATATTTTCGATTCCCCATTCTTCGACTCGATTCTGACATCATGTTGGGAAACTGTCAGGTCTCGGGCCCATAACATGGAACATGATACCAAAAAACAACATGCAACAAGAATCAAATCAATCCTCACTTGTTCTTTTCTTCCTATATTATTACCAGTGGCGAACATTTGTAAGAAAATGCAGTTTGTGAAGAGAGTACGACAATAAACCTTTTTAATTCTCCAAAAAACGAGAAGCAAAAAAATGCAGCCGATTACGGGATTTTACCTGCGTTTCAAGCCTCACATTCTGATGGTTCTTGCTCAGATAGCCTACACTTTCATGTACATCATTACGGAAGCTTCGTTCAACCACGGCATGAACCCTTTCGTCTACGTTACTTACCGGCACATAGTTGCCGGTGTAATAACGCTGCCTTTTGCCTATTTCATCGAAAGGTAAAATCAAAACATTCAGCAACACAAATTAATAACACAACCTTGTTGAAAAAGGTAAGACACTAACCAGTGGAATTTTTCTCGATAAAAAAAAATGCAGAAAAATTCGACCAAAACTGACGTTGGCTCTTTTCCTGGAGATCTTTGTCCTCTCTCTTCTCGGGTAAGAAAACCACATCGGCATATTTCTTGTAATTACTTCAAGAAACGATTTTCAGACATTAAACTATAATTTGCAGGGTGAGTTTGACACTAAACATGTACTTCACGAGCTTGAAATACACGTCTCCAACACTACTGGCATGCATGGTCAATACTATAGCTTCCTTGACATTCATACTAGCTGTTATACTCAGGTAAATAAAATAAATATATACAAGAACAGGACTATAGTTTATACGAACATTTATACCGGAATTTTCAAAACACGGATTTTAATTTTTGCAGAATGGAGATCGTAAATATTCGCAACCCTCGAGGGATTGCGAAAATCCTAGGAACAGTGGTCTCGTTGGTCGGTGTAATGACTATGACATTGTACAAGGGACCAGCTCTGAAAAACATCGGACATGCGCTTGTACATATAAAAGGAAGCACAGGCGTTGTAGAGGGGAATTGGTTGAAGGGTTCGCTTCTTACCGTTGCAAGCTGCATCACATGGTCTATTTGGTACATCATGCAGGTATTTAAAAAAAATCCAATTTTTTTTTACGAGCATATGAATATCGAATCATAAAAGGGTCTCTGAAAATATGATCGATAAGGAGATTAATAATGCTTCAAACATATTTTTGTTCGGCTCAAATCATTTAACAATATCCTAAAGAAAGAGTAGTGAAATAAAATTCTCTGACATCAAACATAAGCTTGTACAGTCGATAGAAAAAACTTACAGATCAGTTTATACTATGCAGGCATATACTCTGAAAAGATATCCAGCACAGCTTTCACTGACCACATGGATGAATTTTGTCGGAGCAGCACAGTCGGCTGTATTCACAGTTATCGTACAGCACAAACGAGCCGCATGGACAATCGGTTTCAATATTGATCTCTGGTCTACCTTATACGGTGTAAGATTTCAACAAATTACGATAATATTTGCAATCACGATGAAATTAAATTTGAACTAACCTCGTTCGCTGTAAGGAAATTACAGGGAGTAGTTATCTCGGGCATAGTGACTTTTGTTCAACTGTGGTGCACGGAAGCTAAGGGGCCGGTATTCGTGACAATGTTTAATCCCCTTTCGACATTGCTGGTTGCAGCTTTAGCGTATTTCGTACTTGGTGAAAAATTGAACGTTGGAAGGTATGTGCTAGTTTACATATATACCCCTCTGTGAGTGTGTGATGTGGACTAAAACTGCATTCGTGGTTCTAATTTTTCAATCTCGTGTGCTTTATTCGTAGCATACTAGGTGGAGTTATTGTTGTTATGGGACTCTACTTGCTACTATGGGGAAAAGAACTCGACGAAGCACAGATAAATCTGAAAGGGAATGAAGAACCGAAATTCTCTTCTGATGAAAATAATTTTAAAGGAGAAGCATAGAAGTTCTTGATATTTCCTTGGCCAGAAAAAAAGAAAAAAAAAAAAAAAAAAAAAGCACAAATAATATATATAGTATTGAGACACGAGAAACAATCAAAGCACTCATGCCTGCAGTATGGAGAAACAAAAGACAAATTTGAGTAGCCTATGGTTATTCGAGTACTAAATTTCTTTAGATCCTAACAACGTAAAAAGCAAGAAAGATATTTCGACATCTTGTGGGAAGCATTTTGTATTTGAGTAGCTCACTAAACCGTCTATCATGACATAGTCAAGGAAGAGCATTTACCTCATTCGACGTATGCATTCTCAAACCGAGTAAAATAAATGGCACCAATTCCTCGGAAAATCTGAATATCCTATTTGATATCCATAAGCACCTCTGCCTGTAATAAATACCATGATGGCATGACGATAAAGATGCTCTCAACATAAAAAAAAAAAAGTTACAAATAAAGACAAGGATATAATATAATGTAAACGGAGTTGAAAAGATTAGACACAAGATGGTAAATGATAATGTAATCCATAGCTTTTAAGATCTTTCCATTTGTCCAATACCCGATGACAGATTAACTGAACCAAGATTAAATTAACCAGCACCTAATTATTATTTACAATTATGTATGAATCTTCTTCGAACAGCAGCAATTTTTGCGAATATCAAGCGGCAGGTGGCCTGAGCTCGTGGTCTTGGGAAGTGTCACGGGTTGACTGTGGTAGATAATGCCACATTGGAACAAATCCGTAATTGGGAAACATCGGCACTTTGTTTACCTCAGCTTGATATAACGGCGGATGAGCTGGCATGAACCCGATCGGCGAAACACTCGTGGTTTTCAACTGCTGCTCTATTTTTTCTTTATCTGCCTTAAGCGTCAGTTTCTCTTCACGAAGCTCATTCTTCTCAGCCTGTTTCAGAATAAAAAAAAAAGTGATTGGCTGTTTCATTAATAAAAAGAACTGCAGAATTACGAATTGCTGCATAAATGTGCTGTCTAACCTTCAAGCTTTTTATCTCTTCCAAAAGCCTTTCGTTCATCTCTGTGTATTCCTGGGTATCAGCTTTCAGCTGGTTTAGAGCTCTTATGGCATCAGCGAGTATGGCCAATTTGTCAGTTTTCACGGGTTTTCCAGGTTGCAATACAGCACACAATTCCGAGAACCTGCATTAAGAACAAAAAATTATTCTATTTGTAGAAAAAACAATCTGTGTATGGTGTGTCCGAGTTTATAATTGCAGTATTCGGACGCATTGGAAGGGGTTACATACAATTCATCATTTGCATTGAATAAATATGCATTAAGAACAGAATATTATTTTCCTACCTGTCATTTAACTTCTCTCTCCTCATTCTCTCACGGCATGCTTTTGTTCCAGTTCCACCATCTACATCACTCCGCACCCTGCGTACACAACCAAAAAAAAAAAAACTTTTGCTGTAAATTCAATACATTCAATTTAAACCATCAAAAAACTAAAACTTTCCTTTTTAGGTTACTCGTAAAATCAGGTGAGTGTCACGATTGGGTCTGTCTGAGAAGTAAAGTGCACATAAATTTTTTGATTGTCAAATACATAAAATTGGTTAAGTTCC